TATTTCAAGCATTTGTGGAAAGGCAAACTGGCAAATCAATCAAAATCTTACACTCAGATAATGGTACTGAGTATGTAAACAATGAGATGGATAACTATTTAGCATCAAATGGAATTCAGCATCAAAAATCTATTCCATTTACACCAGAGCAAATGGGTGTAGCTGAACGTAGTAACAGAACTCTTGTAGAGCGAGCACGATCAATGTTGGTGGATGCTCACCTTGATCAAAATTATTGGGCTGAAGCAGTGCAAACTGCAAATCACTGTAAAAATATATCTCCAACTATTGCAGTTGCAGGTATGACCCCTTATGAAAAATGGTATGGGGATAAGCCAAATTTAGAATACTTGAGAGTATTTGGATGTCGTGCATTTGCTCACATTCCAAAGCAAAAACGTAAAAAGTGGGATATAAAAGCAAAGGAATTAATGCTTGTTGGGTACTGTCAGGATAGAAAAGGCTATCGATTAATAGATCCCAAAACTTATGAAATAATAAATGCACGAGATGTACAATTTTTGGAAAATGAAATGTACTACAAAAAGGCAAGTAATATGCCAAAATTCTATGATGAATCCTCATTCAGTGGGAGCGTGATTATGACATTTTCAGATACTGAGAATGCAATAGCTGATGATCAGAACGGTGAATTGGAAGGGATGGTTAATGATAATACTCAGTCTGATCATGAATTAGTTAATACTAGTATTAATTCTAATCACGATGAACATAATACTGCTCAAATTGATAGCCATGATAACAGTAGTGTAGGTGATGAGCTATTTATGTTGACTAGAAACAGAAAACTTAGATTCCCAAATAGTTATACGGACTATGACACACACGGGATGCCAGAAATGCCAATGCCAAATTTAGATCGAATGTGCTTTGTTAAAGCTATGGCAGCAGCAACAAATGGTGTGTATTCTGAACCGAAAAACCATTGATGAAGCATTAAGGGGCAATGATGCAAACCATTGGAAGGATTCTATATGGGAGACTATATTAGGCCATATTAAAAACAAAACATGGGAAATAACAGATAAACCTTATGATAAGAACATTGTAGATTGTAAATGGGTTTTCAAAATTAAATGTAATTCAGTAGGCAAGATTGAAAGATATAAAACACGTTTAGTTGCTAAGGGGCTATTCTCAGATTGAGGGAATAGATTATACTGAAACATTTGCACCAGTTGTCCGATACGTAACATTAAGAGTTTTATTAGCTTATGCAGCTATATATGATTGGGAAATTGACCAAATGGATGCTGTAATGGCTTTTGTACAGGGAACTCTAAATGAAGACATTTATATGAAAATTCCAGACGGTTTCAGTGAATTTTACAAGCAAAACTTAAAGGGAAAGGTCCTAAAATTAAACAAAGCATTAGATGGTTTAAAGCAGAGTGGTAGACTATGGTACCAACTGTTAGAAAAGGGTTTAATAGAAATGGGACTGAGGCAAAGTTCTTTTGATAGTTGTGTCTATATTAAAATAAATGAAAATAAAGATCTTGTTATTGTTACTATTTATGTTGATGACTTACTCATTTTTAGTAATAACATAGAACTTAAAAATTGGGTAAAACAACAACTTAAAGAAAAATTTGAAATGAAAGACTTGGGACCAGCAAATTATTGCTTAGGAATTAAAATTGAACGAGATAGAACTAAAGGGTCCATTAGCCTTAGTCAAACTCAGTATGTAGAGAGTATGCTTTGCAAATATAATATGCATGAATCTCATGGTGTAAAAACACCATTAGACCAAAATCAAGTGTTATCTAAACTGCAGATACCAACTAGTAAGGAACAAAAGCTACCTGTTCCTTATCAGGCTGCCATTGGGAGTCTTCTTTATGCAGCTCAAGCAACACGGCCAGATATAACTTATGCTGTGAATTTCCTTAGCCAGTTCTCCAATAATCCGGCAAGGGTTCACTGGAATGCTGTCAAGCGCATCATGCGGTATCTTCGAGCCACTACAGATGCTACATTGTCTTTTTCAAAGGACCATAGTGCTGATGTCCTTGGTTACAGCGACTCAAACTATGGAGGTGATGCTGGGGATCGACGATCAACCACTGGATATGTTTTCCTCATCGGAGGTGGTGCAGTGTCATGGTGTAGTAAGCGTCAACCAACCATTGCAACTAGTACAACAGAAGCCGAATATATGGCTCTTTCTGCAGCTACTAAAGAAGCCATATGGCTCAACAAAATTGTTAAAGAACTTGGGATTATTACTGCAAAGCCAGTATTATTATACTGCGATAACAACAGTGCTATTAATCTCAGCAAAAATAGTGTGTATCATGGTAGATCAAAGCATATTGATATACAACATCATTTCGTGCGAGAAGCTGTGAAACTTCAGCACATTGACATACAATATAAGACTACTAATGATATGATTGCAGACTTTTTGACAAAAAATTGTAAACAGTGCAAAACATGAAATGTGTGCAAAAATGATGGGTTTAAAATGAAGACCAATGTAATTTAATGTTTTATTATATGTATGTGTGCTGATGTAATTTCTCATTGTATTTAATTAGGATGATATTTAAACCTAAAGTGGGAGTGTAAAAAGGTTAGCTTTAAATATGTTCTTGGCCCATAGATGGCGCCACTGTTTTTATATTCTTCTATAACTGTGCACTCCAATAAAACTACACTTGTGTTCCAAACTCCCAACAGGTATGTTGTGTATTATTTATTCTCATGCATGCAAGTAACCACTCTCTGCTATATTGAGTTTCTAATAAAAATTAATTCTGAAGAGAATTTTTCGTGGCGTCTGAACGAACATATCTCGCATAACTCAAAAACGAGTAGCCTCAGAACGTTGAATTGGCCATTGATGTTTACATTTGAAACAGGAGACTAGTGGATTTGTTGCCAATCTAGAGAAACTTAGCTTCGCAACAACAAAGATAATGCATTCATTTATTATTGCCAATTAAATCATGCTTAATTCTTTCTGGAATTTTTTCGAGGAAATAAGTGTTTAAGATTTACTTCGCAATTTTTAATATATAGATGTTTTGAGTTTTTATGTATTTTTGCCTTCTCGCGAAGTGAGAACTGAATTAATTAAATGAGAAATACTCAATCGTCTGTGAAAAACTGTTTCTTTTTTTGTTTTGTTTGCTTAATTTCTTTTATACATCATTCTAGCTTCATTATAGTATTTGAATATAACATGTGGCAACGATTAGATATTTCTATTCTTTAAATGATATAAATTTTGTGCATTAGGAGTTATAATATGAAAGAAATATATAAGTTAACTGTTATATAATTATTAATACTGTTAAGTGAATCTAGCGTGTCGCTATGGTAAACAAATACTAGAGTGAATTTTAAAGAATGCATTTATTCTACTGTGGTTTATGCGCTGTCGGCGAAGCAGATTTAATTCAATCCAATAAGATTAATTGAAATGCAAGAAAAAATGTGTATAATTTAATATTCCAATACAAGGAAGTCATGTGATGTACACATAAGATTTTTTTTTTTAAATGGAGATAAAGATGACACTGCAGAATAAAAAATGTTAACTTAAAGATGTTCCTTTTTGCCTTATAATTTAATTAGAATGAATTTAAGGTAAGTAATTTTTCAATTGAAAGCTGCAGAAATTCTGGGGAAGAGTTTGGATTAAAAAAAAAATTTAATCCATGATATCCATAAATTTTTTTTTATCTGATTTCATACATTTGGAAGTTTGCTATAGCCATATAAAATAACATTAAGTCCATAGGAAACTTGATGGGGCCAAAACGTTTGTTCATTGTAAAGCAGGTTTGTTATATCGGGATTTGAATATATGATTAAGCTTCAGGATTTTACTCTAGAAATTGAAAAATGGCACTGTAAATGAAAAATTTCTAGTAATACGGCCAAATCCAAATTGCTGCTGATTCATCACAAGAAAACTAAAATGTGGCACTACAACCACTTTATCGGATTTGCTATAGTAGGGTTTTGACTGTTATGAAAATAAAATTGGCAGAGTTCACACAGTGTATTTTAAAAGCACAATGACATTTTAACAATCATGCTGCAGAGCATGGCAATATACATACTATCTTATTATAATTAAAGGGGAATACTATTAAAATTCTTATTTTTCAAATTAAATTAAGAATGCTAATAAAGTAAAAGAACTACATACAAAGTAAGTTCTTTGGTTTTTAAAATTATTGTGGCATAATTCATTTAAAAATTTGACTTTTCATTTAATTGAATATTTTTCATGTATTAGATTATCTCTTTTTTCTTTTATATTTGCATAATGTTTTCTTTTCCCATTTTTACATGTTTTACCCATCTTATTGGTTCGATACTTACGTTTTGTTCTAAAAGTATTTGGCATTTAAATAAAAATTTTCATTCCAAATAATTTAAATTTACATCATGTAGGGTAATTCTTGATATTCATACTAGTACGCTAAATTGGGGAAATTAAATATTTAATTTCATTTCTACTTTCAATTTGCATATGCAAGCAACAAGGTCAAAACACAATATATGAGTGCTTGGAAGGAGATTGAAATAAGCTAATTCCCCCTGAAACATTGGTATTATTTCGGCTTCCTTTCAGTTGTTCAATTTTAAGAGATTTTTTTTACATAGCTTTAATTATCATTAAAAAATTTTCCATACTAATTTAAATACTTGTAAATATTTTTCTTATTTTCAACATTTAAAATTTATTTCGACTTCAAATTGTAGATTTTACTTTATGAGCTTTCTTAATTTGAAATTAAGAAATTTAATAGGAGTATTTCCCTTAGATTATGTTTAATTAAATCATATCAGCCTAGGTGCAGGATTCTTAATGGTCCTTGCTTATATTTGATTATTTGTTTAGGATTTTCAACCTTAGTTTTTGGCCATCGAAGTTACAAACTACCTGCTAAACTTTCCATATTTACAAAACTAGAACATTTTAAACTAAAATGTGGACAGACAGATATTACACTCACCTTCCACTGAGCTTCTGCTGTACCAACAATGCAGACTTTTCTTTCAGTTAATTTATCAGCAGGATCATCTTTATTTGGCTGAGCAACCTTCAAGAACAATAACACAAATTTTCTTTAAATTGAAATTGTTCCTAACCAAAGATAGTCAAATAAAATTGAAGAATAAATTATATACCTTAATACTGGCACCAGAAGAGCTAATCATGTCCCTAATGGTACTTCCTCCGGTTCCAATAATAGCTCCCACGGCAGAGTTTGGTATATAAACATACACAGTTTCCTTCTGAAGATCCATTGAAGGTGGCATAGAATTCTGAGGATATCCTACTGGCAAACAAGGACCTGCACCATACATTGCATAAGGAGGAACAGGGCCTCTCTGTGGTGGCATCATACCAGGGCACGTTGTGGACATCATAGCCATAGGATGAACACCAGGATACATGTATGTCTGAGAAGCTATAGCAGCCAAATCATTTTCATAACTTTGTCTTAACTTTGAACTAATCATCTTTTCAGCTTTAGCGATGTTTTCCAATTTTCCTTTAACAGTAATGATACGTTCCAAATTATAGCTGCTTATATCATGTATATTGCTGGAATAAGGGGGAAAAAGTTATACAAATATCACAATCAATCAATGATACTGAATAAACATAAAAGAATGTTAATTTCAGATTTTTGATACTTCCATGCATATACTTTTAAAGATAAAAATTTCCCATGAAATTAGTTTTTAATATTTTTTTAAAACAGCTAGACTATACATGTAATAAGAATACAATCAAAACATTAGAAGCATAAGATCAAAGCAATTTTTAAGCCGCGATTTTCTCACAATTCTGTTACTTGAAAGTAAAAAGCATATATTCCAGAAACCATTCTTATGAATATGATTATCTTAAGTCAAACTAATCTTTTTATTCTACAAATAATTTCTATGCTATTCCACAATTAAGAAGAGTATCAGTCAAACAGCAGAAAATTGTAAAAATACTACTTCAATGATGAAAATAATAGCAAAAAGGAAGCAAAATTCTGAAAACTGAATGAAGACTTTGGAAGAGATACAGATCAGTCTCTCTCTTTAAATAATAATCTTTGTAACCATGCCCACAAAAGCCTTACTTGGTCTTTATTTTTCCAAACACTGGTCAGAGACATATGCTTTCAATTGCAAAAATGTTTTAAATAACGCCAAGATCCATATTTTGGCATTTAATTTAAAGAAAACAATTTAGTAAAAAATTACAGTCTAACTTCTATACGTTTCCTACATTTTTTATAATTAGAAAATTGCTTTTCTCCCTCTTCTTGCGCATTCCCGGCTGTTCCTTTTACTACATTTGGAGGAGTGGGGACAACCTGCAGAAACTTAACAATGATTGGCTATTGCAGCGTGCATATTTATCAAGAAAAGTTGGTTGTAGTACCTCATTTCACAATTTAAGAATTTTTTTTTGATATTTTTATTTTTGAAACTGAGATTGATTTTTAAAAATTTTGCATAGTTATCAAGCATAATTAATGTTCAAAATAATTATAAAGCTCTTGCATGCTTTCAGGCCTGGATATTTTTTTGTAGCTGCAAGGAAATTTGTAACTACTACATTTAGAAAATATTTTAAATCTGACCTAATAGAAAATTTCAAACAAACAATTTTCTCTTACAATTTTTATGCTTTTTATTCGTGTAAATAAGTGAAAAAATACTAAAATACCTAAAAATGAATTTTTGGAAGTTTGTTTAAAATCCTAAATTGTGCTGCTTTTTAAAAATTACAGGTGATTACAGTATAATTTTTAATAAGGAGTTTTATACATCATACTGATAAACACTTAAGACCTTAATTTTTATACATTTATTCCAATGTTAAAATTATATTTATCTATAATAATTAATTGTGCCAGTATTTTATAGTAATTTTTTTTAAAATTTATTTCTAGTTCTGTATAAGATTTTTTATTTACTGTGAATTTAATTTATTAGCCCTAAGGGGCAGTAGTCCAGAAAGAGTTTCGAAACTGCATTTTGCGTTGTTTCACTATAAATATCAGTTTCAATTTGCAAATTGTTATCACCAAATATTATCGCCCTGTATTACATTTAAAGAAATTAAATAATGAAGAATCTTCAAGAATGCATGCATGTTTCTCCCACTGTGAAAAAATGACGGTATCTAAAACCATCAAATTTTGAATAACAAAATCAGTCACCCGAATATGGGGACCTAGATGGCCGAATTTTGAATTCGTTTGAATCCATGTCATATTTTCTAAAATGTTAAAGAATTTTTGATTAACAAACTCAGCGAGTTCAAAGTGAGCAACAGCAACACTGTATGGTATGTAACATTTTTATCACCAGTCCGGAATTTCTAAAGATATGCTGTTTTCAAATATTTTGTGATATTGCTATTGAATTGAATTTTATATGGTTTACATGAAAAGAAAATGATGTTCAATAAATATAGGTAACACACAAAACTTATACCCCCCCCAAAAAAACACCTCTGGGCATAGTATGAAATCTGAGTGCTTCCAGATTTTTTTCCACTACACTCAGAAAAGTTTATGCTCCAAATTTTATGAATTATTAAAATAATCATCTTATGATGTTAATAATTAATAATCATACTAATCAAATAAATAATAGTCTTAGTCTTGTAATGTTATAATTTTTTTAAAACCACTGCTTGAAAATACTCATTAAATTAAAAAATATAACAGACCTCTTTTGATTTTACCTTATTTGTTTCAAAGCATCATGTACTATCAATCTTTTTTAATTTTACTTTATTTGTACCCAAAATGTCATAAATTTTTTACTTCGAGTTTTTACCATTTTACCAAGGTAAAAATGTTTATACAAGAATTACATGTAAAAAAAATTTAAAAATCTTAATCTTATTTGAAAAAAACAGATTTTCATAATTTCATCACTAACAACAACACATTTAATAATTAAAAACAGTTATGTGATGCAAGCACCATAGGTTTCAGTGTTAAAATAAACCAGATCATTTCTACTCCTTCTTGTGGACATGTGGGCGACGTGTACTCCACCACTCCATGCATATTCCCCATTGGTCAACATATGTTTCTTGATTTTTTCAACCAATGGCTAAACAGCTTGAAAGGCTACTTCATTTGATTCATTTCTTAAACAGCAACGATTAGCGTTTACAATCATTGTTAAATCAAAAAATTATACAGTAAGACTGCCTTGCCAAAGTGAATTTATACAATTTTAAAAATACAACATACATTTGCCAGACAGGGGGTAAAATTTAAAGTAGGTTAATTTCTTTAACAGCCAAGTGCCAGAGTTATGAAACAAAATAGTGCACAAAAATTTCAATTTCTTAAATCTGACAAATAGCAACTACAACAAAAATCGGTAATCACACTTAAATTGCTTCAATGTTTTTGAGAAGGGCGGGGAGTTGAATAAAAATTTTGGTAAAAGTTTACAATTGAGTACCCCTTGTTTTTTGGCGATTCTTTTTTGACTCCATGATTGGCACCAGGAAGGCACAATTTCAAGATGGCTGCTACATAAAACCAAAATAAGAAGTCAAAGAATTGCACAAACTGTGTCCATGTGCATATCGATCTGTTTTCACTTAAAAAAAAACATCCTAGAATTGCACAAACTAGGCACTGTGCACTGCCTTAAATGTGTCCATGTACACATCAATCTGTTTTCATTTAAATAAAATAAAGAAGCTGAAACAAAGTAAAAACTATCATGGTAACTAGAAGTGAGGTTTCATCTCCAAATTAAAAAAAAAAAAAAAAAAAAAATGTTGCTAATCGAAGGGGCAACTAATTCTACACTAGAGCCCCAAATTTTAGTTTAAAGTAGTTTCTAAAAGTCACAGTTAAACTATTACACCAAGCTAAAATTATCTACAAGTGACCTTAGTTGAAAGCTCCATATGAAAAATAACATAAAGGGCAGACAGTTGTTTCAATATAGTTTTTAAAGTAAACATTTTGATTACCTTGATACAGCAATTTTTGTATCTGTTACTTCCATTATTCGTTTAATTGTGCTTCCATTTTTTCCAATGATCCTTCCAATAAGATTATTATGAGCTAAAATCTTTAGTGGAATTTCACTGTAATATAAGAATAATATGTTAATTTTAAGACAATAATGACACACATCCAAATGCCCAAAACGAAAACAGCTTTTATACCATAATGCATTTTATATCTTACCCTCTGTTAGTAGTGTTTGCTTCTTGTTGCATTATTTCCATTATTTTCTGACAAGCTGTTGAACAGTTGTCAGGAGTACCATAAATCGTAATTACCTAAAACACAAAATCTGTTTCACTCTGACCTCTTAAATCTTCCGATAATGCATAATCACTAACAAGAAATAAACAAAGCATCATCAGTGCATTTAAAATAAAAATAAGTAAAAATTAAAGCCATGTTCCTGCCCCCTGAAAAAAAGTAAATGGAATACAATCTATGTCTTTCTTTAAGAGTTTTAATATGTCTTTCTCAATGAGACATCAACGAGCCAAGATAAATGAAATTTACTACCACTTTCTTTCAGAGTATAGCGGTTACACTTAATGTAATATACAGTATTTCAAATGTTAAGTTAAATTTCATGAATTGACAAAGAGGTATACAATGTTGCTGGATGCCCATTGGAATGGATTTATCTATAGCAATATCATTTCAGCTTCAATGAAAGTCCAGCATTTAAACCAGAGACAGAATGTCTTAAACATTATTAGTCGATTTGAAGAATTACGATCCAAGATTCGGAATAATCAGCATTCTGCCAATTCCAAATTTTATATCATCAAATTAAATCTAGTAGAACAACATATAGAAGTTATAAAATTAAGAAATATAAAAGTTTGTTTGCCAAACGAAGCATTTATGATCTTGAGGAAACCCAATTTTCGATGGAGAGAGGAAAGGCACGAATGTTAATATCTGTTTTGTTTCATTAAATTCCCTCTATGTAAGATTGATTAAGCAATTGTTTTATGTATTGTTATCTTTTCTTTAATTTTAAAGAGAGACATTTTCCATTTCAGTTACAATTTCTGTAACTGCCGTGTTGAGAATTCCCATTAAAGAGCATTTCTAAATTGTTTCAACAATGTATATCACTTTCTTCACAAAGAATGACAATATTTTCCGAATTTAAAACCATCTACAAGTTTGTGTTCATTGATTGATCATTCTGGCATTGTCACCACAATGAATACTTTTGCTACATCTTCATTTAGCATTTTTTCACTTCAGGAATTTTCATGGTTCTTTTTGCCATAGCTAACTGCCACTTTTTTGTTTGCCGGATTTTTTCAGTGCCAAGTTTCACCAATTTAGTTAGGCTTCTTTCCTGACACAGCCATGATTTCATCTAAGTATTTTTGTTTATTTTTAATGGATTTTTATGATTTAGAATGTGCTATGAGATCAACTAGCAGCTAACCTGTTTCTTCAAGAAAGAGGATTGTTGCACAAAGAAAGACTGAATAATAAGCTAATTAAAGTAAAATATGGCTCGAAGCCAAAATGGTGATATTTCCTGCCATGTTTGGTCATTACAGAATATATCATTTTAAAATTTGTTTTAATGACAACAATCATACTTTTTAAATAACATTTGGATACTTTAAGAAATTTTTACGTTTTCATCATTACAACATGAACCTGCATAATGCAGCAGATATATGCATGTGGGCTGAAATAAAAAAGGCGGAGGCTGAGTATGAATTGCCAAAAATATTGTTCAGACAATTAATAATTATTTTGAATCTAATTTCTATAGCATGAAATATGAAAAATTAAAACTTATTCAGCAGGTCAGTTTACACTATATATTCGTATTATTTTTTTTTTCTATAAGCAGTTATCACACCAGTTCAACATAAATTCCATTTAACAATAACTTGAGTAATTTTTCAAATAAATATTCCCAAATGGGAACAAACTACAGCAGGCTAATAGTTCATCAAAACAGAAACACACCGTATAACTGACATTTGGAGGAATGATTCAGTGTTTTGACCACAAAAATTCCTTAATTCCAGCATTCTGACATCACTTTCCTCTTAGCAGGAGTCACATCAAACCCTCTGGGCAACACTGGCTTTCTGGATCCGTTAAACTATATTTAAATGGCATTTATCAACTAAATCAACTTAATTACTTATTTTACTCTTTCTTTTCATTCTTTAGAATGATATTTAAAGGAAAATAATATTTAAAATATATTGACCAAATATCATGACCAGATAAAAGCAATCATGCTGGTCAGAGGATTAATACGGTTCCCATTTCTAATAATTCAGAAAAATGAAAATTTCACCAGTTTCTACAACAGCGAACAGCATTTATTGGCATATAAGATCTATGGACTACAATGCTATAAGAAATTCCCCAAAGAAAGGTGTCACGCCAATGAAGCTATGTTGAACAACTAAGTTGAGTAATTTCTACCCAAAAATTTAGGTAAAATGTTGTGCTCAGCAATCTGTTTTGCGTACATACCATGTGTTTCAGAAGTCCATAAACATTTGAAAATTCAATAATTCATAGAATAATTGTAGGTAAAGAGGTAAAAATTGACACACATGCATAAATGACATGGGATTTCATTAAAACAAAACAAAAGTATAAATAACCAAAAAAAATCCGAAAGATTTCAGATTTTAAATTACTTTTTAGGGGCTTTTTTTAATGTTTTGTGTGTTACCTTTATTTATTAAATATCATGTTCTTTGCACTTAAACCATAAATTTCAGTTCAATAGCAATGTCACAAAATAATTTAAAAACGAACCTGTCTTTAGACTTTCCGATACACAGTTCCGCACATGCAGATTTTTCATTATTTAATTTCTTCAAATATATTGCAGAACTCTAACATTTGGTCGCAACTTTTTGAAAAGTGAAATGGACAGTTGTAGTGATTCAACGCAAAATGAAAACAATAGTCCTTCAGGGGCGAAGCCTTTTTGGACTATTAAAAACCAGCACAGATGGTACTGGACAGCAAAACACATAAAATGAGCTGCAGTGAGAGAAGGAAACAGATGAACCAGCATTTGTTGCATGTTAACTTTATCAAAAAGAAATAAATAAAAACTGTTAATAAAGCTGTACTATCAGAACAGAGAATTTGCTACTACAGCTTTAAAATCCTATCACCAAAAGAAGGGTATTTGAACAGATAAAGGTCTTGTGACAAGTGTAACTGAAGAAAATTATTATAAAGTTCAAAACCATGGGTTTCTTAGACAATCGACGCCATACTGGGCAGCCAGACACAAGTGTGGCTGTTGCTTGGACAGTTCAGGAAGAAATGGAGACTAGCGGTTTCATCTACGCATGGGGAAGTTGGGACTGGCATTCCATGCACTACTGTTAAAAGAGAGCAATAAGGCTTACCCTCCAATGCCATCCATATAAAATCCAGCATAATTATGAACTATTAACCATGGATTTTGTGAAGCAGACAACATTTGCAAATTCGGGCATTTAAAAAAATGGGGGAAAGATGACAAATGGTTGTATAATGTGTTGTGGACTGACAAAGCCGATATCACATACTGGGGTCAGTCAACTCCCACAGCTGCAAAATCTGGGCTCCCATTGCATGCTACAAGTCATGGTGTGGATTTAGCACATGAATCATGATTGGACCCTTTATCTTCAAGGAAATGTGTGGTTTTGCTTATCAAACTGTCAATGTGATGGGTACAAGAAATACCGATATGTTACAGAATTGTATCGTTTCTAGCCAGCCTAATAAATACTCGCTGGAAGGTAAGACTTATGTAGAATGGGGCTTCCATCTCATACTGCTACAAATGTGAAAGATTTCCTGCCCACATCGTTTGTGGTGAGGATTGCATGATGAGTCACCACTTCTGTTATGCCTGGCCTCCTAGGTCTCAATCTGTGTGATTATTGCTTGTGGGTTTACCTGAAGTCACAAGCCTACTGCAATCATTCAACCTCATTAGGGTGCTAAAAAGAACATCCAATGGCAATTTTTGACTGTGCCCTACAGATATAATGTAGAGTGCTTCTTAAAACATTGCTCCTCGATCAGGTACTGTTAACGAACGACGGTTGACATACTGAGCATTTTTTTTATAAATATGGTCTTTGCTAAAAATCAGTTATGATAATTATTCCTTTCTCATCATAATATGATAACCATTTTTTGCACATCCTTTTTTTTTTGTTTCAATAAAAGCCCATGCCGTTTCACGCATGTGCGTCAATTTTTACTCTCTACCTACATTATTTCATGAATTATTTAATTTTCAAACATTAACGAACTTTTGGCTCATCTGGTACTAGTAACAATTTATGATCCTGAGGAAAAATTACACTAAAAGCTTTTTTGCTTATGTCAACAATCAGAAGATTATGCCCCTACACAATATGCTTCTGGAAGGAACGTTTCTTGTGCTTCGTATTTGTAGGCCTGGTAAGGATTTAAGATTGCATAAACACAAAGGAAACCTTTATTGGAGAGTATTAAAAGGGACAGATTATTACTATAATTACCTTTTCTGGTGAACCAGCATTTTCTTTACGATGCACATCCACTCTAAAAAACAATTTAGTTTTATTTCATACATGAAATGCTACATATTTAAAAGACCTTTTATAAATTATAACAAAAAATACCTCGCTCTCGACTGTTGGGTAATTTGCCTTATAGTGCCACCAGCTCTTCCTATGATAGCACCGACCATGTCACTCAACACAAGAATCCTAAATTTTAAAGTTTTTTAAACTCAAGTTTCTTTCATTTTAAAAAATTTCAATAGAAACATGAAAACTCTATATATTAATTACTAAGTAAACAAAATTACCTTAATGGGAAGTCATTTGATCGAAAAATTCCTGAGTTACTGAAAGGACGAGAACCAGCCCGCCCGCCTCGGGCACCACGGCCTCGACCGAGATCCATTTCAACTCTGAGAGTAGCACCTGGTTGGACTTCGTAATTGTTGAGCTGCACTTGTGCTCTGAAAGAGAAATCATAATAACAATTTTATTGCAGAGTAACTCAGAGTTCGTAACCACATTTTAGTTAAAAAAATAAGCACCTATAAGCACATTTTAAGGAAAAAATAAGCACCTGTCTAATTACATTATACACAACTGCATAACCTTAAAAGAAAAATTAGACTGGTGTAATTTAAAAATTCAGTATTTATTAAGATTCAGTATTAATTCAGTATTTATTAAGATAGAATGAGCATTACCTCAACCATGGAAAATAATTACATTGTTTTTTTAATTTTAAATGAACAGTTCAATTTACAGAACTTAGTTTACAATGAGAGGGGGAAAAAAAAACTATGCAGAACTACAACTATATTACAAGATTTAATGATGAAATTTCAGTTCAAAATATAGAAAATAAATTAATAATAAGCCATATTTATTATTATATTCGTTTGGCACCTTAATAATAAATACAATTTATTTTCCACTCATATTAATATTTAAATAATTTAACTTAAATCAAAATTCTGAACATTTTTTAAATTTTCATTGCATAACAGTTTTCCCTTAACATATATTCCAAGCAAAGTAATTTAAGTAAAAAAGAGGCACATTTCTGAAATCAGGAGACGGGAAATTGCTTCATGCAGTCATCCTTTAACAGTAAAAGCTTAACTAACCCGCATACTCGGAAATTGCCGAATATTCCGGATAGTAACTGGAAAAAGAGGAATGGGGAGATTGTAGCCGTTCTTTAGATTTCTCGGCTAAATAAATGATTTTGACATTTCGATATGTGCATCATATAAAAATAGACTAACGGAACTCAGAAATATTCTGCTTAGAAAGCACAGTAAAACTCTTTTAAGTGTTCATAAACACATCTCACAGTGAACATCAAAATTAATTATCTCTGCGAAATACCGCAAACGTTATTGCGCAATATGTGCGGCGTAATTCCTCCACATGTGATATTACGCAATCGGAATCAACAGCTGCCGGTATTCGGAGAATAGAGACCTAAATAAAGGAAAAGAAAGAGACTTACTAATCTGGATTGTTTCCGATTCTAATTTTCAACAGACTGCATTAAATTTCCGGAATAGAATCAATCTTCGCTTGGGTTGGGTAGACCGCAAAAACGTTTAGTCCTATTCAATATAGATTGGACAGTGACAAAAAAAAAGTCTGCTGCTTCAATATTAGAGATTTTGTGGAGGAACCTTCGTACTGTATAATGCATTGGGGAAAGAAATATATATATATATATATATATAGATATATATATATTGACTATTCGAATTACTTTTCACTTTATTTAAGCCATTCCGAATATTATTCCTTAGGAAAACTAATCTGTGTTCAAAACCCACTTACCCATTTTTGGAAGTTTATCTATACTTAAGCAGTTACTGCAAATATATTATTATAAATATTCATACATATGCTCATACGCATAAGCCATAACGATTATAATAAACACGTGAATATGAACAGACCACGTGGAACGAGAATGTAAATTATTAAAATCTTGATAGAAATTCAAACATGTGCAGTATTTGGGTGGGAGGAAAAGAATACCGAATGTACCCCGGAAATTTCTACGTACCATTTTCGCAATTCTTTAACCAATAGAACGACGTGCACCTGTCTGTACTCTCGCACGCACCATAGGTTATGTTAATGCAGAGAAAGGGGGAAAAGCAATTTCCAGGAGTATGATTTACCATCTGACGTTGCATATAAGGAAGAAAAGTTGTTTATAGTTTCGGCTTTGGTACGGGGAAAAAATGCACATTCATTAAAAAAGGGATTAAAAAAAAAGCACTAAAAGCAAAAATTAAGCACTAAAAACAAAAAAATAAGGGCTTTAAAGAAAAAGTAAGCGTCTATAAGGGTCTTTATATTTTATTTTTAAATATAAGAACTTATAAGCACTTGTAAGGACCGCTGCGAACCCTGGTAACTACTGGATTAAACATTTTCTAAACTAAGAATTTGCTTTTTTAAACCTTCTAACAATACGCTGCTGTAACATCAATGATTGATTGGTTAAGTCTAGAAAATTTATTTGGCGATAGAAAAAGGATATAACATTCTTTTCCTGTCACTAGATGAAAATCTGAAAATAAGAATATTCTAAACTGAAACTGAGATGTCATGCTTGCAGTTGTGAAAGAGGCACATAAAACTAGGCAGAAAAAATATGAATTCAAGTGCAGTTATGTTATTGTATTTTTGAAGAATTGTTAGCTGCAAGAAATGAGGAAACTCGGGGGAATATAGAAGTCACATCATTTACATCAATGAAACATGAATCATAGTAATTTAACATTCAAGAAATAGACTATTGCATAAGCTGTCTCTTCCACAGGATTTGTTTCAGGCACTCCTTGTATACAAAGCAAGTATTATGATGGGCAAAACAAATTATGTACATTTCTAGAAATAGGGTAGGAAAAGCACATTCAAAATTTACAACACCAAAGTGTGATATGCATGGACAATGCTCCATATCGCATGAGAACCGAAGGTTCAACACTCATAAAATATGCCTCAAAGCAAATAATGGTAAACTGGTTGATCAGGAAGGGAATATGCTGTGATCCAAAAATGCACTAAGCGGACTTGATACAACTCAATCATCCTAAAAAAAATATTTTATATATATTGTGTGGCTCTTTTCTTACCACTGTATTCTAAACACAACAGTATATGTTTCATCATCAGTTAAAAGACTGATTACAGAAAGAAATGCAACTCAAGAAGGAGACTCAGAAATTTGAAAAGTACTACACAAGCTATGGAATAACTTCTCAAGAATGGCAAGTGCACTGCAGCTATGTAGAAAAATTAGAAAATTCTTACTGAGACAAAGATGAACTTTCGGAAGAGTTAGTGAACAAACTAATTCAGACTAGCAGCAACAAATAGTGATTTGGATTTAGAAGAAATAGTATCTTCTGTGAGTGACTAGAATTTTTAGACATGACACCTCTTTTAACACATTTAATGCTAACCTTTTGGGGGGGGCAGAATACATAAGATTATTACATCAAATTAGTCTAAACATGCTGGTAAATTCAATCTGACTTAATTCTCAACAGCTGGCTGCATTAGCAATTTTATGGATTTCCCCGTGTAATGCTGATACAAGCCAGCTTCTGTTAGACAGTCCTCCATGAAGGCATCCCTTTTCTTAACCTTCACATGGTTTGTCATAATCAGATAAACCAAACCTCTCAAATATTAGAAGACAGGAGAGAAAAAAATACCAAAATTGTGCTCAGAATTTTATGGATGATATTTCTAGATTCAGTATTTCCTTTCCAACAATATAAACTAAAGAATACTAAAAATGGGCAATAAGCCTTTGTCGGAAGCCATAGAACAGTGATGATAAAGAACAGTGATTATTTCTCTCTTTCACTGAAGCAATGGTATGATTTGTATTAAAAATAATTTTTTAATCTTTAGTGAAAATTAAAAAATGTTTTATTTTTAAAATATCAATACAAAATCATATTAATGCAACAAAGCTATCAAATTTTGTATAATCATACATCTCTAATGCACATTTTAAATATCAAATACATAACTGAACAATTTTAAAAACCTAAACTTGGTTTTGATTTGAATATTTTATTGAGTTACTTGTTATTACAGTGTCTTTATGTCCTTAATACTTAAAACGAAAATAAAATTTGGTAATTAAGAAAAAAGATTTGACTTCAGCTCAACTTCCCCCATTTAAAATGACCCGCTTCTGATTTTCTAGGAACTTAGGACACAGGAAAAGAAATATTAACAAAGTGTTTATTGAGAGTACAATATGTACACAAACATGTTTACTTTCAAATCAGCATATTGCTTTGTTTCTTATTCGATGTGAAGCATGGTAACAAATTTAAAACTTGACCAAATTGTTAGAAAATTGATCATTTTATAGAAATCTAATCAATCTAACTCAAAAGTAGATAGATTCTACAAATGGGCAGGAGAGATGCTCAGAGGAAACTGCAGATTTAGACTTGAAATTTACCATGCCATGGTTACATTTCGAAGTTTCCAGGCTATCCAGCTCAAGAAACTAAGACAAATTTCTTTTACATTGCTCCAATGGTGTATTTTCCTTTCATCCTCTCTTTAGGCTAAGTACATAAAGAGTGAACAAAATTAAAACCCTGGCCACCCAAACAATATAGTGGTTAGGGAAGCCTTTGAATCCCGGAGAAGGCATGGATGTAAAACTGTCCGTCCCTTCATAGGAAGTATGGGAAGCCACCTACCTATTAGGTGCCTCCACAATAAAATGGTCACCGCTTCTGACCTTAGTAGTGGCCAATGCCGTTATAGGCAAGTGCCCATCATTTGTTAAAATAAATAAATAAAATAAATTTAAAAAAAAACCTGAATGTTTCTATTCTATTTGCAGGCCTAATTGCTGTGGAGTTTATACATTCAAGAAGCCCTGATCTGGCCAGCTTACATTTAAAAAAAATATTCACTATGTTACAATATATTAAAAAACTCACTGTTGAGCTTGGTCTGGGTTTTCATAAGTGGCTAGGACACTATAGGTATTTTGTTTTGTTGGTCCTGAAATAAAAATATTTGATATAAAATATCACAGTGAGTTACAACTTACAAAATATTTACACAAAAGAATGAAATTTATAATCCAAATGTCGTAAAATGCAATTAATTCTATAATTATTTTATCTTGTATATGAAGTACAAGTTTAAACCTTGAAAAGGTAAAAATCGGAATAAAAATCTTTTCAAGTCCTAAAAATTTGCAAAAAAGTTTGTCTCTTATCTGCTAGAAAAATAAAAGAAAAAATTCCTATAAAAGTACCCACGTAGCCTTACAAAGTTTTTTAGAAATGGCAGTACCTTTATCACATTGCACAGTTCCAAAACTTGATAACAAACGAAAAATTTCATCCCATGGATACTGTTCTGGAATATTGCTTATGTGAAGGCTTCTATATCTGCAGAGAAAGAAAGAATAAAGCTTTTAACTGTGATATTTATACAACTTAAATTAAAGAAGGGACACACAGAATAATTACAAATATATTTAAATTACTGCAGAAAAATTTTAAAAACTGAAAAAACTCCACCTTTTCAGATAAATGGATATTTTCAATTATAGCTTTTCTCCTGTTTTTATAAGTACCATTTGAACACTCCCCCCCTCGAAAAACCCCCATTTGCAACTGCAATATAATATTTTACTGGAAAAAAAAGAGGGAGAGTAACAAATTATGAAGTTTGAGTAACTGGTGTGTCTTCTAATCTCATAATAATAAACAATCCTTCGAAGAGGTAAATGGATCCATCTTAATGTCATTCCTACATATACTACTATCTGCATTGAATCAGTTTTCAGTGCCTTGAAAATGGAAGGTTTTAACAACTTATATTATCGAACTTCAGCTATATCCCTTATAAATAAAAAGCATCTAAGAATGAAAATAAATGTAAATTCTGAAAACTCAGGAAAGTGTCCCAAGAAGCAATGCTATTTTCTTACCAACATGCATTTCTTTTCAGTACTATGAATGTTAAGTGCTATATATATAAATAAATAAATAAATAAATAAAAACCTCCCCTAGTTAACAATTAAAACTTAGGAACATATTTTTGACACCAAGAATACATCTCAGGTTGAAGCACAACGGGATGCGTAATGGCAAACCGCACATTGAGTTGATAGTGTTAAGGGAATTTCGCTTACTGCACATGCCTGATGGTGTACATTTGGCGTGGGAAGAAATATTGGCGAGTAAAGGCAACCCTACATTAGCTTATTCGTGATATCCATTGTGCTGTCGAGTCTGGTCCAGTGATGCTTACAATTGCAATATTATGGAACTTTGTTTACTCGTTATTTTAAATGTCCATACTGATTGAATTTGCTTCTTTTTTTTTTCCTAATATATGTTTCATTTTAATTAATTTGCTGATAACGGTACATTTAATATTTGTTTACATATGTTGTGCGTAATAATTCGTTATTTTTTAATTTGTTTACATGTTATAATTCAGTAATGTAAACTGGATTTTCTCTCCTAGTTTGTTAATGTATGTGGGCGCTTTTATTTTCTTATCTCAAAGAATTAAATAAACAGCATTAAGTAACTGTAAAATTCTTCAGTGTTATTTACAAACACTTGCTATATTCCTTCGTATTTCTGTATGTATGTACGAATGGAACGTATGGTAAACCCTGAATTGTTTTTATTCCTTAAAAGTATAATGAATAAATTTTCAACTGTTATATCCTGTAGTGTCTCCTAAATTTTAGTCTTTTTCTGAAAGAAAATTCGTACAGTGCCCTAAGAATGTGCAGAATGTCATAAGTATACATCTTACATTTTGAACGTAAACACTGCTTCACATTATTTTGTAATAATTAAATAATTATTTACAGCCCCTCCCTCTATGCATGTATTAATTTTTATCGGATTATATATCAATAATTTCTGGTAGAATTAGAAATATATATATGATTAGAAAAGGTTTTTCTTATTTCATTTCCAAGGAACAGGAATTTAATTAAAGAAGTGAATTATTGGAATGAATTATAGTCAGAATTTAAAGTTATTTAGAATTCTACTGTAGTAAAAAATATGTTATTTATATTTCTGTTGTATTAAAAATTATTTAAAAGCGGCTTAGAAATATTATTTTGAACCATAAAAATTTTAAGTAGAAAAATCAAAAGTACTTAAAAGGTAGCTATTGTCATTGATCGTAGATTGACTTGTCAAAGGAAACAACCAATCCAATATATATATTATATGTCTAAAAATTATTGGAAAAATTGTCCTGATAAAATCTATATATATATTATGACATTCAGTACATAAACAATATATTTTTTATTCTGGGAGGGGGTTAACATTCTGATTAATGGTGATATAATCAAAATTACAAAGAATCTTTGCAAGTAAAGGTATTTTACCATTTCTTTGAATTTATATACTTTTCTGATATTCCAAGCATTTAAAAGAAATATATTTCATAATAGTTTACATATGATACAACTGTGGCTGTATTCATATTTCCTGAAGTTCTAAATGTCTGCAGAAACACATATTTTAGTCTAAGATTTAGCTGCATTACTAAGTTAAGAAATAAATTTTTCTTTAATATTTCAGAATTATTAACAGATGATTTTATATTAATAAGAGAGTGATACATTTATAATTCTCAAAAAATTCTTTATGACTGGCAGATACTTACATAAATTTTAGTTATATATAAATTTGATTTCAAGTAATTAGACTTTCTGATTACTTAGTGACAACTTTATTTATTGCCAAAATTTGGTCTTTATGCATAAATATAGTGCATACAACATGCATGCAAAGATATGATAGCTGTTAGTTTATGATTATTGACCAAACATTACGAATACTATTTCTTTTTCAAGATACATATTTTCAGTTGTTTTTATAATAATTTCTGTATTTATTTAGACAAAAATTCTGCTGATAAAATACTAGACACAGAAATGTTTCTAAAATAGTGTGTAAGAATGCTGTTAATTTTTCAGATACAAAGTAACAATATAATTGGTTGTAACCTTAAAAGCACAGATGTCAAACAGAAAAAGGAATGCAATTAGAAATGTCAAAAATGCTCAAATGCGAAATTAAAATGTTTGATCGTAAAAAAAAGTGTAATTACAGTTAACTGATTTTTTAACTTGAAGACTGGTTATCAAATATCAATTAAAGTTTGATTAAAGAATTTTATGAAAATAATCTAAACTTGAAGTATAATAAAAATAATAGATTTTATTTTAACAAAATAGCTAAGTACAATGATTTTTGTCGATGCATTATTTATGTTTATTTATGGAAAAATAACAGATGTTAACCTATATTATGAATAAAGTAAAATGTTTTATTTTTAACTATCGCTAATTAAATATAAAACATTTAAAAAAGTTTGAATATTTGGTGTAAAATTGGATTTTTCATTGTTAAGATTAAAAGCCCTTTCCACCAATTACTTTTCTTGATTTAATGAATCTCCTTTTGGTCTTCCTTACAACTTATAGAGTTTCACTCTCTTTGGTAATATATACTGTGTACTGTGTGAGAACTTTGGAAAACTTGAGAGACTTCTCGCTATGTCTTGGACATTACAACATAGGTGGGAAGTAGGCGTAAAAAAACCCTTTTATAAACTCAGACAAATTAACAGAGTGCACAGTTTGTGCCTACAGAACCAACCAGCATTTATGACATAAATCAAAAGTAACTAAATGACTTTACTAAGTAAATTTTAGCTAGCACAAAGGCTGTGTACTGTCGCTTCAGTTCCGCCAAGTTTCTAATTAAATTTAGTTAAAGCGGAATGGCAACACTTTCTAGTCTCTGCGAAGAACGAAATAAACAAAGCTCGGTTTTCTGTCACGCGATTCAACGTGCATGTAAAATGTAAATAAATTTTATGAATAAGAATCTATAACTTCGTAAGGAATAAAATATTGGTTCTATTGGAGTCAGAGAAGTGTTATTTTCCTATATTTTCATACCAGACATTTCACTGGTGTATCCCCGCGTGATCGAATTCTACAATGGCTGACGAAGAGGAAACCGAAATTAAAGCAATAACTGCGTTTATCGCCAAGGTAAGCGTTAAAATTCCCCCTTTTCGGAAGCCAGAACCTAAAATATGGTTTATTCAACTAGAAGCACAATTTAGAAATACAAAAATTAATGCAGATCAAACAAAATATGATTATGTTATAAGTTCCATTGAACCCGATATTTTGTCACAGGTATCTGATATTTGCTAAGTCCACCACAAGATAATAAATATGAGGCTATTATAAATAGACTAATTTCATTATATGCTGATTCAGAGACTCAAAAAACCCAAAAATTACTGAGTGAATTAGAACTGGGTGACAAAAAGCCATCTCAACTGCTGTGAGAGATGCGTAATTTGGCGGGCGATAAAGTAACAGATATTTCCTAAAAACATTGTGGCTACAACGTTTACCCGTTAATATGCGTAGCATTGTATCTGTTAGTGGTGAAGATTTGTCAAAAGTGGCTATAATGGCCGATAAGATTTGAGAATTAAACCCTGTTACTCCCCAAATAGCTGCTGCTTCATCCATAATGGTAAAAACGGAAGTGATTGAAAGTTTACAAAAACAGGTTAGTGAACTTAGCTTACAAGTTTCTGCTTTAAACAAGCAACGCCACAGTCGTCCCTACTGTAGTAACCGATCCAAATCAAGAGATAGAAGTTACAGTGGTAACAGATCTAGTGATATTTGTTACTATCATAAAAAATTCGGTGATAAGTCATTTAAGTGTAAACAACCCTGCAACTACTCATCAACAATCACAGACCAAATAGTCCAGGAAAACCAGCTCCCCCGTCTCTCATTGACGGCGGAAGGACAAGGGGTGCAGCTGAGTCGGCTTTTCATCAGCGACAAAGAATCAGGATACCCAATTTTTAATAGATATAAGGGGCAGAAATTTTTTGTCATTCCTCCCTTACCTTCTGCAGATAAAAAACAAAACATCTCAAAATTAAACTCTTTCCTGCAAATGGTACGAAAAATCAAAACATATGGCCAAAATTACTCAAGCTTGATCTTGGACTCAGACGATCATTCACATGGCCTTTTGTAATTGCGGAGGTAAACAAATCCGATAATAGGGATGGATTTTCTTGCAAATTTTAACCTTTTGGTAGATTCTAAAAATCGCAAGTTGAATTGATGGAACTACATTTTTTAACAACCAAATGGAACTCCTTGTTTTCAAAATAACAATAATATATTCCAATTTTAAATGCCGTAAATGACCCATATAAACGTATCATTAACGATTTTTCCGGATTTGTTAAAACTGAATGTAGTTAATAATAAAGTTAAAAATCATAAAATTGGAACATTATATATCGAAACCAAGAGGGGTCCACCAGTTTTTGCTAAAGCTAAAGCCATTCGCTAAAGGAGTAGACTATCAGCT